AGGCATGCTCAGGGGACAGGATTTGGGAGAATGACTTTCAGACGGGTCTGCACAGGGACACCCACCAGCCCCATAGCCTGGACTCCCCCCCACCCTTAGCTCAGCTCTGCAGAAGTGACCCTGGCACTGGGCACGGCTGATCCATCTGGCTGGCCCCAAGTGCCAAGACCCCAGGTCTCACAGCTATGGCTCAGGCTGAAGCATTTCCCAGCAGCTGCCATCGCTTGGAGAGCAGAGGGCAGGAGCCAGCTCTGCCTGCTGCTGCGGGCAGGAGAGGGCAGCGGCAGGGAGGGTGCAGGCGAAGCTGCTGCGAGGATGGATAAATAAGGTCTGGAGCATCTCCTGACCTGTCCCAGGATGGGGCACAGGTGACAGTCAGTGGTGTGTCCAGCTGCCAGCATCCATGACACTGGCACCTCTCACCATCTTCATTTCACGGGTGGAAAAACTGAGCCACCGTGTAACGGCACGATCTGGTTACAGCCCATCTGCCCCAGAGCAAATGGACCAGCGCAGCCCCGGCAGCAGAGAAGAGGGGACACGTGGCTGCAGGTCCATGACCCATCTGGCGGTGACACGCTCACGTCACAGCAGTGTGCCCGGCTCCAACGAGGGTATCCCCGTGATGCCTTTGGTTTCTGGGTACCGCCTGCATCTACCTCCTACCCGCGGGGGCTAACAGTGTGGCGCGGGGGGAACCCCCGCCGCGCTCCCTTGGAAACCTGCATCTTTATTTCTGTTTCTCTCGGTCTGAGGTATCGGCTTGCTCTGGGCGTTCGGAGGAGCGTATCGATTTCCCCTGTCGGATCAACACACAGCGATAGAAAATGGTGTTGGGCTTGGCTAGCCCATTGCTAGGTATGAAATGCTGTATTCAGAGGCAAATTAAACGGGCATCTGTGAGAACAGGTCGGAGCAAAGCGCTGCCTTGCTCAGCATCCTCTTCTGGCAGGGGCTGGCAGCAGAGGCTTAGCAAAAGGGAAGAAGAAACAGGCAAATAGTGATCCTTCCCTGGATGCTCCTGGGAATCGGGGGTTTAAAGACCTTTTCTGCTGCGGCTCAGGTCAGGACAGCCGAGCCGAGCGGCGCCAGCGGGGTGGCCCTGCAGGACCTGGGCTAATTGCTTTGTGACCCCGTTTGCTCCCGGCTCCGGCACCATCTGCAGCGCGTTTCACAGCTGGGCTGCGCCCGGGGGGGGGGCTGGCAGGACCTTGCCGCTGGGCACAGGGTGACCCCTCCGTCCAGGGCACTGGGAAAGGCAGCAGGAGCCCCCTCTCCCCGACCCCGAGCTACCCACACCCGTGCGGACCCCTCTGCCATCTCCTGCCTGCTCAGCCCCACCGCCTGAGCCACTCGCTGCTGTCCATTGAAAGGGAGCCAGAATGGATTAAATAGCTCAAATAACGAGGGTTTGAGTGTAGCCACAGTGGGCCCAGGTGTGCGAGGCGCTCGCCGGCAGGCAGCAGTGACAGCCCATGTGGGGACTGTGTCCCCAGCCCCTGTCCTGCCTGCTGCCGGACCCCAGCACCAAGGGAAGAAGCGTGGTCATCATCACCAAAGAGAATCTTGAACTAAGAGTGGGAAACAGAGGGGATTAAGCTCCACCACTCTGCAAATCGAGGACCTGCGCTGGGTGAATGAGGGCTTAGCAAGGCTGCCATGGCCAGAGAGCAGCCGGGCATCCCTGGGGACACATGCATACCTGGCGTGCTGTCACCTCCATCCCAGGGGACACCAGGGATGACTCCATCCTGCCACTCCGGCCATGAGGGCTGGCTGGGCTCCCCGCACTGGAGCCATGTCCCCCTGCCAGGAGGCAGTTACTGTCCCCAGTGTTGCCAGGAGACTGTCCCCAGCTCCCCTTTGCTTTCTACTTCCCTTTCTTTTCCCTTTTAATAATAAGAAAAAGGGGGGGGAAGCCCAGACATCCCGCGTGACGTCGCGGTTGCTGAGGAAACATGTATGAGGCCTTTTCCTTAATTTACTTGTTTTAACAAAGCCCCATGCCGTCTCCCCTCCATTCTGGCAGCTGCTGTTCAGACCAGTAATGGGGAGCAGCAGCAGCGTCGGTTCTCTCAGACCCCCGCCGCAGAGCCACGGGGCACCCAAACCCTTTGGGAAGAGATCCCTGGGGTGCAGGTATCCTCCCTGGCTCTGGATGGTGAGGCCAGGAAAGGCCACCACAGCCGTCCCCAGGGGATGAGGTCAGTGTCTGCATCCCTGCAGCCCAAAGCCGTGCTGGTGCGGCACACTGCAATCACCTGCTTTTCCCAGAGGGAGAGAGAGCCTTGAGAAGGATTTTTTTTTTTTGACCCGGGAAGAGATCATTCTCATTTTCCTGTCCCACTTTGTAATAAGCATCCTCCCATGAAGGATGGGAAACAGAGCATCGTGGATGTGGGACCTGGCTGCAAAGTGCTGGGCCAGCCTGGGTACAGCAGGGCCCTCCTGGAGCAGCCAGCATTGCATTTTGGGGCTAATTGGGCATATTTTTGTTGCTTTCTGTGCTCAGGAGCAGAGCTGGGCAAACAAGCACGGGAGCAGCCGATGTTTGCACATCTTCTGGCAGGGCAGGATGAGTGCCCAGCTGCCCAGCAGCACCTTGCTCCCCAGGGATGTGGAGACTGGTTTCCTCGGCTTCTCTTCTCTTCTCTCCTCTCCTGGGACTTTCTCTACCTCCCAGACCACCCTGGGATGCCAAGCATCCATCCAGCTCATGTCATCCCTGTGCATGCTGGCATGGGTGCGGGGCAGGGCGCGGGGAGCCCTGCATCACTCCCAGCCCTGGCTTTGTGTGACTGGGATTGGGAGAAGGGGAATTGCTGGCAGCCAGGCAGAGCTCCGGGGTTTTTCAATGCAGGAAAAGATGGAGAAGAAGGGAAACACCGCCCCAGACTTACACCTGATCCCTGCAGCCAGTCTGCTGCTCGGCTGGCTGAAACCACGTCAAACGCCAGCTCCGTGCT